GTCAAAACTTCTACCAGATAGTATTTGGTTATACATCTGTCTCCCTAATTGTAAACTAAGTAAATATGAGATTTCAAAGTGCTTTTCAGTGTATTCTTAATTAAATTAGGAAAATGCCTACATTTGCCCAGCAGGATAGGAAAGAATGTCTTTAGGACTGAGGTATATTATGCTGAATGACTCTACATTTTTGTAGGCCGGTCCCCAGTTGCATTTTAAAGCAATAGCAGCAGCCTGCTCCTGCAGAATTTTGCCACCTCAAAACCCCATTTGTGGCCAGGAAAGACGCTCACTTAAAATCAACTTGTTGTGTGGCCTTTTGGTGGCTGAATTCCCTCCTCCAATCACTCTGGTTGGCTTCTACTTTGCCACTCTTTAAGAAAAATCTTAAAATGTATGATCATTCTTTAGACTTTCCCCCATAAGCAGCCACAGTTTAGAATATAATATAATAGAACAGAACAGAACAGAACAGAACCTTCTAGTCCAGCCCCCTGCTCAAGCAGGAGTCTTCTAGTCCAGCCCCCCACTCAAGCAGGAGAACCTATACCATCTCAGACAAGTGACTATCCAGTCTCTTCTTTAAAATCTCCAGTGATGGAGTGCCCACGATTTCTGGAGGCAAGCTGTTCCACTGGTTAATTGTCCTCACTATTAGGAAGTTTCTCCTTAATTCGAGGTTGCTTCTCTCTTTGATCAGTTTCCAGCCATTGTTTCTTGTCCTGCCCTCTGGTGCTTTGGAGAATAATTTGAGTCCCTCATCTTTGTGGCAGCCCCTCAAATACTGGAATACTGCTATCATGTCACCCATTTCTTCTTTTCTTTAGACTAGCCAAACCCAAGTCCTGCAGCCGTTCTTCGTATGTTTTAGTCTCCAGGCCTTTGATCATCTTAGTTGCTCTTCTCTTAACTTTTTCCAAAGTCTCAACATCTTTTTTGTAGTATAGTAACCAAAACTGGTTGCAGTATTCCAGGTGTGGTCTTACTAGGGTTTTATAAAGCGGTACTAATACTTTGCATGATTCTATGCCTATGTTTATACAACAGTTTATACAATCTGATGCTAGGTTTCATTTTAATTTATGCCTGACTCTACCGGTATCGATCTCTATAATCTAGATTTAATCTATAATCTAGATTTCTAAGCTGAAATTTCCTGATATTGAGAGCAAATAAAATGGAGCAGCTTGCCTACTAGGGTTATGGGTGTTCCATCACTGAAGATCTTCAAAGAAAAGATTGGACAACCATTTATCCAGGGTGGTATTAGGTTTCCTTACTTGGGCAGGAGGTTGGACTAGAAGACTTCCAAATCCTATGATTCTATTATTCTATCTGTTTCTATCTATGTGTATCTACAGTATCTCTATGTATCGTGCTTATTTTTACCATTTGCATTCAGACTATTTTCTGTTTTTATAACCATAGAGTTGGAAGAAGCCAATGAAGCCTTCAAAATAATGAGATCTGGTTATCAGCAGCAACTAGATAGTTTTAGTAATCCCACTTTACAACACCTAGCTTGTTGCATTATCAAAGCAGGGTCTGCCTCCCTCCTCTTTGGAGCTGTTTCTGGTGTGAGGAAAGAAAGAGACAAGCCAACCTAGAGAAGGCCAGGCAGAGTTAGGCCTAGTAACTTAGAGAAGAACTATTCATTTCAGAGTCCTGGATCTCAGAACACACAAAGGAAATATCTCTCATCTTTTGCTGCTCTTCTGCCGAAACTGATAATAGCTTTCTGCTCCTGCAGGTAGATTACAGCCAGCCAGCATGATTTCACCAGTGCCCTTCGAAGGCAAGGTAAACCACTAACCATTATCACAACATGTGGTAGCAAATTCTATTATCCACCATAAATTCTTTATAGCTATTTTTCCCCTAAGTGTGAATAAACAAGTTCCTGGGGAATTGTCCTCTTGAAATGCTTCTTTAATTTGGACAGTGCATAAATTAATATTAGTTTAATCAACCTAGTTTTCTAAATGGTATCTTGTACTCAAGAGACAAGGCCATGTTATAGAAAAGCTCTTTCTATGGTATTCTACTTTATTTAGGATGAGGTATGCAAAGCATCATTTGATGTCACATTCACTGAACCTTGATGAAAATCATGTACATACTCATCTATATCATATCTTCAGCTCAAATCAATAAGCAAAGTTTCTTTGTTCTCCAGACTTGTTGTGTAAATCACTCCAATATTCTTTTTTCATGTACACTGTTCAACAGAATATGAGCAGCAACCCCCCTCCAAATTTAATTGTTAACTCCTAAGCATAACAGTCTTTGCATAAAGTATGTCCTTTAACTCTTGATGTGCAAAAGTCAAAACATAACAGAAAAAAGATATTTTCAGAAAAGCCAGGTGCAATTTATTTCCTTTAACAATGGTGTATGGTAGGCAAGACAACTCCACAAATAGTTGTTGGACTAATAGCAAATCAACAAAAAATAAATTGAGTAGGAGATGCATGTAAGTACAACTTCTCATTTAAAATAAAAGTCTGCCTTAAGACTCCAAAGAGTTAATGTATGATGAACTAAGCAAATTTATGGTCTGGTTCAGTGTAGTAACTTTGAGAACTGCAGTGGTTTCATGTTAATGGATACATACTTTTACTGTTATGGTGAAGTGTTATAGATACATGGTCAAACATGAGCCACATGGATGAAATATGGGGTCTCCATCACATCTGTCCTTAGATGATGAACCATATGGTCTTAAAGCAAATACTAACATAGAACTGGGGTTAACAATTCTTTAGGTTCATCTAACATTCCTAAATATATCTGGGGGGGAGGTCCATTTCAACAGTCATGTCCCATCTTGAACAAGGGAAGTAAATTAGAAGTTGTTGGTCTTCTAGTTTTTCAAGATAGACAATAGGTCTACAAGTAGGCTGCAAAATGTGACCTAACCAATATAGGGCAGCAAAAAGATACAAAATTCTAACTGTTTCTATTGGACATTTGGAGTTATGAAGCTCCGATACAGTAGCTCTAAGCAAGTCTTTTCTGCAATCTAGCTTAGATTGATCCACTGAAATTTTAAGATTTTTTTAACTGTATCATAAAGAGTGATTCACAACAATCCATCATACATGAGGTTAGAAGGGAAGATGAGGAATGAATGAAATAATTTTTTAAAAATATGTATTTATTTATTGCCGGATTTATATGATATATCTTATATCAGTGATGGCGAATCTTTTAGAGACCGAGTGCCCAAACTACAACTCAAAACCCATTTATGCATCATCGGGTGCCGGGTAGGTGTGGCCATTGGCTGGGTGTGGCCCACTGGGTGGGCATGGCTGCGGTGGTAACGGCAGACTGGGTGGGACTAAAAAGTTCAATCAATCAATTCCAACTTTGCAAGATCTTTTTTTTTCCGCAATAAGTTGAAATTGACTGATTGATTTAACTTTTTTTTTTTTTGGCACACGGCGGCGGAGGCCTAAAGCGAAAAGGTTTTATAAAACCCAACTGAAGGCCTAGGACTGGGGCGACGGCGCGCGTGCCCATAGAGAGGACTCTGAGTGCCGCCTCTGGCACCCGTGCCATAGGTTCGCCACCACTGTCTTATATCATAGGTCCAGGCAACTCACAATAATCCATAAAATATTAAAAACAAAAGTACCCTCCCACCCAGGCATCAAACAAACCTCCTTACAGCTTAACCCCACCCAACTCATTGTTTCTGGAGAGAGTCTGGTCCTTGCATCCTTCCTGAAGGCTAACCTAAAAGATATCTGCAGGGATTGAGCTGAAGATAAGGAAATTGGAAATAAGGAGTTTATGTGTAATACACAAACCAAAACTTTCACAATTCCTCCTAAGTGCCTTCTATGAATTGGGATTCATTAGCTTCCATCAGATGACAGTTTGATTCACAGAAAAGACCATGATACCTTGGGTAATTATGATAAAATTAGACTGTATAATCTACAGGTTCATTTTGAAGACTGAGAGTGGCATGCTAATTCCTACACTATAGTTTTTATAACAGTTCTATGTGAGGACAGCTCCATTTTGATATAATACAGGTAGTCTTTGACTTATGGCCTGTTGCTTAGTGACTGTTTGAAGTTCTGACCCCCCCCCCCCCAATGATACTTACAACACTGAAGTTCCGGCAGCCCTGGTCACATGACCGCATTTTAGGTGC